GGTCCGACTGGTACAGGTTGTAGGTGTCGGTCTGGTCCCACTCCTGCACCGCCACGAACACCTGGCTCTCGTCCGTGCTGATGACCTGCAGGTCCTGGGGACAGCGCGGTGGGTGGCGGCGGGGCGGGCTGCCCGGGCCTGGGCTCTGCTGCCCGAGGGCTCTCCAGGCCTCAGCCTGCAGAGTGGGGGGCTGTCTGCCCCCAAGCGGGGCTGCCGGAGGCTCCAGGCCCCAGCGCGTGCTCAGGGCCTGACTGTCCTGTCCACCCCGAGCTGCACCTGGGGGCGCTGTTCCTCCACGCACCCCAGGCTGTCAGCGCACCCCAGATTGTGACAGGTGTCTGTGAGTTACGGGGCGCCGCCTACAGGCCAGGCCCTGCTCCAGGCTGGGCGCTGTGGTGCTCTCTGGGGCTGTGGGGGTGCTGGCAGTGGGGAGCCTGGCTGGGGGGGGGGTCTGGGAGGACGAGGTGTGGGCCGTGGGCCTCGCAGGACACTGTGGCCTGTGCTGCCCCCAGGGCCCAGCCCTCGTGCACAGCAGCTGACCCTGCTGGGGACCACACGGGGGGCGGGGGCCCCCCGTTCCCCACATGGGCCCTTCCGCCCGGACCCCATGATTCTCTTCGGTGACCCTGCGCTCCTCAGCAGCGGGACGCCGGGCCCGACTGGGATGCCCGTGAGGGCGAGAGCCAGTTACTGGCTGCGGGGTTCCCTGCAGACCCACGTGACTCTGTGGTGCAGCCTGGGGGTGCAGGGGTACAGCCAGCGCAGAGTCACGGGCACCTCTCGTGTGGCTCTGGGCCCCCAAGACAACAGCCTCCACCACAGCCTGGTGCTGGCCAGCACCAGGTCCCATCCGAGGGGCCGGGCACACGGGGGTGCTTCCAGCCGTGCGCCCCACAGCCCCGGTCCGGCAGGGGCCTCGCTGCGGCCGCCTCCCCAGGTCCCAGGGCCACCCGTGAAGCCCAGCACAGTGTCCGGGACCCAGGCCTTCCCTCGCCCGGCCCCGCCCACCTTGTCACCTTGTCCCTTTTTCCTTTTTAAGGCCGCCTGTCCCTTCCTGCCTGGTTCCGAGGCACAGCTGGGCCCCGGGGCGGCAGCCGGAGCTCCTGGCAGCGGCTGGGCCCTGCTTGGGGCCCCGTCCTCAGTCCTCCCCACCCGCGGGGGCGCGCTCCTGCCCCAGGACCTTTGCACAGACGCTGCCTCTGCCCGAGCCACTGCGGGCACACGCAGGCCTCGGCCCGGCTCCCTCGGGCCCCGCCGCCCTCCCGCACGGCACACATTGGTCTTCCGGGTGTCCTGCCCGCTCCTTTTCTGAAGACCCCACCGGGGCGGGGCCTGGGCGTTGGCTTATGTGAAGTGGTTCTGTGACAGGGAGCCCCAGGGAATGTGGATGGGGGGTGCGGGGCTGAGCAGGGAGGAGACTGTGGAGGGAGCAGCCAGGAGGCCCTGAGGAGGCCCGTGGAGCGGAGACGGGGAGAAGCTGTGGCCGCCTGGGCAGGGGGTGGGGGGCGGGGTGACCACAGGGCCCGTGGGTGGGCAGGGCTCGGCCAGAGCAAGCTGGGCACCTCGAGGGCCGTGGAGGGCAGCAGGAGGCGGCACCGTGCACGCTGTGTCCCCTGACCTGGGTCCAGGGAGCCCCGAGCGGAGCCCCGCAGCCCGCCCGGCTGGCCCGGGACAGCACGCTTACCTTGGGCAGCGCGTACTTGGGCAGCTTCATCAGCACAAACTCGCTGCGACGGTAGGAGACGTAGTATTTGGTGCGGTTCATTGAGGTGGACTGGCGGGAGGGAGGAGACTGGCCTTCAGGGCTCGGCTCTCCTCCCCCGCCAGAGCCTCGCGAGCGACACGCTGGCGTCAAACGCCGCCCGTGGGAGGGCCCTTTCCCTTGGCTCCCTCTGCTCTGCCCGAACGGCGCAGACTCCTATCCACCCTGCAGAGGCCCAGGCTGCAAGCCGCCCCCGTGGGAAGTCTTCCTGCACCTCCACCAGCATCCGTCCCCATGCCCTCTCCGCACTGCCCTGCAGCCCCTCCGTCGGGACAGTGCGTGGGGAGCCACTGGGTGGGGAGAACACCCCCCAGGGAGACCCCAGCCATGATGGACAGCTGCCCGCGTGGGCAGGCCCACAGGAGGGCCGGGGAGCACTGTGGAGCACAGACGTGCCCGAAGCCCGGGCAGGGCGTCTGCAGAGGACAGCGGGGACCAGCTGACCCTGGGCCGGCCTACCCTGGCGTGAAGGCCCTGCCAGTTCCAGCCCCCGAGCTCCCGGGGGGCACTGGTGTGGCTTCTCGTGCGGGGCTGCC